AGTACGAGGAATTTGGACTCACAGACAGTCAGCAGGGTTGGGTTCGGCTTTGGGCGGTGCTGTTCGACGACGCGCTAGCTACAGATGCCGTTGCTGATCGTTTCGGCAGTCGCACATTAGCCCCGGCACAATGACCATGAACATCGCTTTCGTGGTCGTCGCTGTGGCCTCTGCCGTTTTCGTCGCCGCACCGCAAGTGACTGACCATTCAAACGGATACGGTCGATCGGCGGCCGATAAACGTGAAGGTTTTGGTAAGAGTGGCGGCCGTTCTGGCAAAAGAACGCACTGCTTGTTTTTTGATCACTCAAGGTCATTCGGAGACGACCAACAGCATCAGCTTGAACCTGTAATAATACAGATGAGCTAGCCTTCGGCCTCTGTGTGCGCTTCTGCTCGATCGGCTGCTAGTAGTTTAGGACTTCGGTGTTAACTCGTGGTACGTTTCCGTTTCAGGCGTCCACTACTGCATACATTGCGCCAGTCCTCGTACCGTACTGAAGCACAAGACATTATTGGATGCGATGGATCAGCTATTGTACTTGAGGCAAACTGAATATCCAAACTCGGTAGTTAACGTCGATTGCGATCGCCTGACCAATGGTTCCATTCAGCGTCAGTATCAGCAATGCAAGTATCCTTACTGCTACTCGATCACTTTCGATGATCACGTGGGTAAGTAATAGCCGCGGTGTAGTCTGTTTTGAAAGTTGCATAGATAAGTTCGCTGTGCAAAACGGTTCAAGCCCCTAGTACAGAGATCCTCGAATTACTTTTGACTTATAAACGTGGTATTTTTAGAGGTAGTAGAGAGCACTATGAAAAAATAGCTGTTTATGAAAGAAAATATTGACAGTGGTCTCCGCGCGTTTGTCCGACGGACTGCCCTTCATTTCGAAAAATTTTTCTTAAAAGGTTTGAGAAGATCACTTCGATTGTGCCCTCGTTGCCTCGTTAGCCTATCCTATGGCAATTCATGACAGGCCTCACGGCTACCACAACAGAGTCTGTAGTGCTGCACAGTGGCATTCGTTTATGTACTTTGGCTGCTGTCAAAGTCGAAATCAGCTTTGCATGAAACATATTCAGGTTGAACCTCATAGATTTTCAGCTTGTGAGCTTGTAAGAACGTAATGAAAATCGGTAGGTTGTCGGGCGGCAGGACTTCAATCAACAAGGTTGCAAAGTTGATGTCAAGGAAATGTGTTACTTCCATGACTTCACGTCTTATTTCACTGTGAGTTCTTTTTTGTTAATACTACGTTGCACAGAATTTATGAAGTATTTCTGTCTGGTTCAGAAATTGTCTACACAGTACACCTCGCTGATTTTTCCGTAGGCAAAGGTCGATAGCAGCATTCCAGAGGGTAATCCATGAGAATCTGCCGCCTGCCCAAATCTTCTGAAATAAACCCTTTTTAATGTAATCTTGGGTGTCTGCGGTGTGAACAGTGAAACTAAACTTTTCGTTTTAACTGATTTGTTTACCTCCTGGAGATCGAGCATTGCGTTCTTCCGTTTGGTGGTCGTACTGAAAACAGTACGAAGCACGGTTTATTTATACACAGCGCAAAAGATTTGTCAAGCGGATGACTGAACAGTACCGACGTTTCGGTCCATGTCTCATGAGTCTTCTTAAAATTAGAGTTGAGCTGGTTTCGGGTGTCCTTTCTGTCATTCGTAGCGGTTCCCACTTTCAGAGCCAGAAGGCTTTTTTGTTATTGCGTCGTTGCTGATTTAACAGCCGTCCATGCTTTGGCAGGGGTCTTGGCAGTCACTGCTAAATCAGGTCGTAATGAAATATAGAGTTCCGAAGATACATATCTTACATGGCGGCCGTAGCGGCTGAAAAGAAACTTCGTCACGCTTCATTCTGCCATTCCTCATAATTGAGTTTCGCCCCCACCTAATTTGCAGTATGGACAAGAGTTTGGGTGTTGAAAGTTTATGGCCCTTAACAAGCCTTGTCAGTTTAATTCATTTAGCATATTAGCTTATGCGATAACCAGTGTCAAAATTTTCGTCATTCAAATGTGTCAAGTAAAATATTATTAGAGGCAAGTACAATAAACGACATGACTGAATTAAAAAATAGTAGATGTGATTCTATCGCTGCTGGGTCCACTCAGTCGCTTAACTTGTCTGTATTGGTGTGATTACGATTATCGGCTACAAACGTTTAGTGTTGACTAATATGAACAGTTTCAATTTCGTAAAAAAAAGCGGCAGCCATTTGGTGTGCTTGCAGTTCGGATTACGGTTCTCCGCTAGCATGATTTCTGTCTACATATCGAAATGCAGGGAACGGACAAAGTGAGGAATCGCATTCCAGTGCAGAGTTTCGTGAGAGCTTATCGAACCTTGAAGTGGTCAGATGATGAAGCAATGGCTCTCTCTGGCTTAACGACCTCATTACGTCATTAGGCTAAATTTATATTTGAGATGTGTACTACGAGTACAAACCTGCACGGAACAATTTAGGTCTACCACTTTCAAAACAGTCTTCAAAGGAAGGATGTTGAAAGTGTGTAAATTATTTCATCATGTTACCTAGTCTCTGAATAGACGTTGATAGCTCTTGGACAAGACGATTTGAAGATAATTCGGACGAGTTTTGAATATCATATGAAGAAATGGAAAGATAAAATTGCGCCTTTCACGAAACAAATTGTCAAGAGAGAAAATAGCGTAATGACGTTATCAAAAATTGTTCATAATATCGTTTGTTTTAAATGGGTCCCTGTTCAGGGTCGCATACCAATGTCAGATGAGCAGCTGTGTCTGATTAGGTTTAAGAGGGTTCTATGTACGCTAAAGTCGATTGGTAAGGTACAAGCTGATAGGGCAGACCTTATAAGATGTAAGCACGGTTTCTTTCTCCGCTTGTGGATATAACGCGGATGCGATTCCAGAGTTTTATTTTGTGAATCCGAAATGCAGCTGTTAGTGAGTGTTTCAGGTGTCTCGCCTCGTGGAATTTCATTGATGATGATTGTATCGCAGATAGTACAAAATAGTAAAGGGACGAATAAGCGATCTGCGTGTCAGAGTCCCGTAGAACGGTTCACTTAGGCGTAAATGACCTCGAAACAGTGTATGTATGTATGTATGTATGTATGTATGTCTGACAAACTACTAGAAACATCTATCGGTACGTGCAAATTTGCGAAGGATATTCAGAGATGACCGCCGTGATTCACGAAGGCTCGTTAGCAATTCAGCGAGAAACGCTTGACACAAATCTGCTTCTGAACCTTTGGCATGCGTACATGATCGGAAAGTGAAATGTTGTGTGTTGTGATATCGGTAGCAAGCGTGTTCGCCTGTCTCCTAATGAATATTTACTAGCTGACGTTGACCGTCGTCGTCGGTGTCAGGTGTCAGAGTAGGTGCTTGTGTCATCGTCACTTGTTCAACGTTCATCTGTTTCCAGGCTCGCCGTTGACCATACGGGGCTGCGCTGAGTCCTTCGTACCTCCGAAGCCGTTGGAAAAGAAGGACAGTAATTACTGTCGTCGCGTTCACGGTACTCTGGGCATCGCCGAATGCGTGTGCAAGCAAACAACTTACTGCCAGCCTTCGAGCAGCTCTCGGTCAATCGGAACGTTTCAACGATTTCGGTTGCAGCTGGTCGTCTGTTTAGCCGCGTTGTGTCTTATGGCCCGCTGACCGATGCTCCAGCAAAACCTGCACGTAGTCGTCGTCGGTCACATTCCGTCGGCGCGCTATATGACCTCTTGACCCGCCTGGTTCAGTTGGTCGAAACAACCCATGACCGCGGATAGGTGTGGCAGATGGTGGCGTCTGCGAAGCATTGTTCGTCCGTTCAATCGATCGCTGATCATACTGTCACATGTCGAATTTGTACCGCATTGGCCTGTTTTGTGTTGTGCTTATGTCGTACGGTACGACGAGCGTTCTTCGATGTCTCTTTATCACTACACGCGATCGTTGCCGATTTAATTCTTGTGTGATCGGTCTGACCATCGCGCTTCGTCTGTTCCATTCAAAGCCACTTGCTTATGCTGCATAAATATTCAAAGTCAAATATATGTTCTAGGTGTCGATTTAGGACGACTTAGAGATGGTTGTGCTACCATGTAAGATATAAAAAAACTT